GGGCAGTGAATTAAACACAGCAGACAGGAAGACCTCAGAACAGGAAAGATGATTCAATGTCCATCCATCTAGCAGCTGGGCATAGGGACAGCCACAAGATCTGACAGATAGGGCAAGGCACTGTCGTTGGGTCGAGTTACAGCAACAATGACCCTGGCTATGAAATAAATGCCTTGCAGACTCTCAGCACAGAAGATACAAGTTTGCAAGCCGTGGATTCTCTGCTTCTTGCAGGTAGAAATAACTGGAAGTGCAGCTGTGGTGCTGGACAAACCCAAATGTTGAGGAACTCTGGCCCAAATGGCCTCTGCTTGCTGATTGGGCTAGCCATACATGCATACATTTCTATACATCATTTCCACCCCAAACCTACCTGAAGGTCTCCCACCCACCCAAGAGGATGCCACAAATACCCATGACATGCTGCTTGTGTAGTGCCGTGATTAGAAACACCTAGTTGACTGTCATTGATTTTTGTCGTTACACTCTTCATCCCATTTTTTTTGACAGCTTCTTAATTTTTTTTTCCTATCCACATTTTTCCAATTTTTTTATATATTCCCCCTGGATATTTTAAAGACAATTTCAGGATATACAAATTCTTCTAAGGAAAACTAAAGAAAAGAAAGTCGGTAAAAGAATAACAGACGTGGTCTTAATCGCGATGTTTTCAATATACCATCTCAGAATCTCACTCCTTCTTGTGCTATTATCGTTTTTGTAGAAATTGCACACTGTTGGACAGTACTTCTTAACCTAGGGCTGGTGGTAAAACAGCGAGACTGCATTGTGCAAGTGTCCATGTTTAGGAGCTGTCTCACCAGCCAACCGATGAACTCAAACCCTCACCAAAGAGTAGATATGTATATACACTCTGATGATTAGTGTTGTCAGCCTGACAATCTAGAATCACCTGGGAGAGGGGCCTTTAAATATATCTGTGAGGTTATCTTGATTGCCTTAGTTCAAGTGGAAAGGCCACTCACTACGGGTAGCACTGTTCCACGGTTGGGATAAGCAGCACGTACTCTGCACTCTGCTTCCTGACTGCGGGATGCAATGTGGCTAGCTAATTCTGCTGCCATACCTTTCTCTCCATGGTGGACTGTAAACCAAAATAAATCCTTCCTTCTTTGAGTTGCCTTATGCAGGGTACACACACCCACAGAGATAAAAACAGAGACAGAGAGACAGAGATGACACAGAGAGAGAGTGAACATAAAACTCTTCAGAAATAGAATCAGATCTGCATTCCTCAAAGCTACTGTTTAGTAGCTTGGTGACTCCTCTGGAACACTCTGTGGCTCGGTTTCCTTTGCTATGAATAAAGAGCTTGCTATGGTTTGAATAAGAATTGTCATTCACAGGCTCATGTGTTTGAAGACTTGTTTCCCAGGTGGTGGCAGTGTTTTAGAAGGTTGTAGAACCTACCAGGTGTGACCTAGCTACCAGAAGTATGTTGTTGGGGGTGGACCTTGAAGGTGATATTCACTTCTTTCAGTGTAAAGGCTCTGCTTTCTCATCTGCCGTGGGCCCCCACAGCTATCAACCCACTGTGCTTTCCTCACTATGATGGGCTAAAACTGTGAGCTAAAACAAATCGTAACGAATGAAGAGAGGTACTGAGCTGTACAGAAGCTCTGGCTTGCACAGATCAAATGGTATCCTGAATGTGAAATCAAACTGGAAACCCAAAAGTCCAATAAAAGTGCTAGCTTTTTCTTACACTGTCAAATCTCTCAATTCCATCAAAGCAGAAGGGCAGGGCCAAAAGCCAAACCAAACCAGTTCTGTCAGTGAGGGACATGCAGTTTTAGAAACACAGTGCACGTCCTCCATGACATTAAAATCTCACCCAGTTCCTCATTAGCTTTGTGTACAAGTAGAGAGGGGACGGAAGCAATGTGGCAGTTATCCACATTATTAAATTAATTATCCCGGTATTTGGACAAATGCAATTATAAAGCCTTGCTTCTCCATTCCTATCTGGACACACCTCTCTCTTCTGGTGTGTAAACATCCACCAAGAGCACAGGCCCTGTGTGAACAAGCTGCCCTGTGGAGAACAACTGTTCTAAGAGGTTCCTGCAATTATCCTTGCGTGGCGTTGATTTTGTTACCAACCCTCCTGAGAGCCAGCTCCAAGGAAGGAATGAATAGTTCAAGATTTTCACTTCAACAGTTGTGACCCCAGTAGAGCCCCACAAATGATGCTGGAACCTAAGACCCAAGTGATCTGAACTAGCAAATTAAACAATAAGCCCAAGGAACCAGGCCCCACTTTATTACCAAGAGAGTAACACCTTTTAATTGGTTAACACAACAAATAGAGAGGTGGCAGCTTTGGGAAGCCAGCTTCAGGTCTGCTCACCCATTAGGCCAGTTTGAGAAAACAGAACCCTTTCCTTCCTTAATTTGGAAGCTGTGATTTTGATTAGGAAACAAGGGGTCACAGAGGACCACGCTAGAGACAGCAAGTGAAACAGAAGGTGGCTGCCAGCTGCCGAGAACTGAATTTGTTAGGACATCCTCTTAAAGGTATGTGTAATTGAGTGAAAATAACTTCATCAGTTTAAGGTTAGAAGGAATTCATTCTTATGGAAAGTCAAGGAAAGACAGAACCCCATTTCTTAGGATTCATGTGAAAGACCTGGGTTTTTTGGGAGACTTTAAGTTTGAATAATGCATATGTCAACTTCATGGATCCATCCCCAAATTTGCTTCCTTGGCTCAATTACTCCACTCTGTCAATAAGGCTGTACAAATGAATTAGACAGCTGAAGACACTGCTCTTACTTCTAAATGAGACCACTTGAAACGACAAGTGCTAGGTAGCCTCGCATTTTAAAAGAGTGGCTGTGACCATTCTAATGTTTTACAGAGAAAGGGGTAGCTGTGAATTCTTGGGCTCTGATAAGCCTTGCCAAGGGTCTTTTTTGCAACCCCAATCCAATTTCACATGGTAGTTGTTGTTCATAGGGGCAAGAACCAAAAGTAACATATCAACTGCGGTCCACACTTCATTCTGATATATTAGATTCTCCCCAGTGCCCTCTTTCCGCTTCAAATTCCCACCCAGACTCCCATGTTTTGCTTCACTGTTATAGCACAGGTCCCTCTGGAGCAGTGGTTCTTAACCTTCCTAATGCTGCAACCCCTTAATAGAGTTCCTCATGCTGTGGTGACCCCACAATCATAAAATTATTTCATTGTGACTTCACAACATTATGAACAGTAATGTAAATATCTGATATGTGACCTCTGTAGAAGGGGCATTGGACTTCCAAAGGTGTCGCAACCCACAGGTTGAGAACCAAATCACTGCTCTAGAGTCTAGACTGACAAGAAATTTTAACAGGTTTGAAGAGCAGTGCTGCTCTGGTGTTTTCTAAAAGATTCTACAATTTGGGTTTGTTTGGCAGTTTTTCTCATAGACTCTGATTCCAGAGTTGGGGAGGATGACCACCAGTGATACCACTTGTACAAAAGATACAGGCTATTCAAGATGGTGCTGATCCTGACCAGTCCCAGCTAGACAGTATTGTTAACAGTTTTCTCCACTGTGATTAGCCATTTTCTCTCCTTCACGCTGTACTCTTTGGAAGTCACTGTGTGTGTCCCACACAAAATGAGTGGGGATGTATCTCCATAAATTATCTGAAGGATTTCACACTTTGTTTCTTCTTGTCTACTTATTTACATGTTTGATCATTCATCTACAGCAGGATAGACTCATGGATATTTATACTTAGGGTTGTTTAATATTGCATTATTCATTTTCTTCTTCAAATTCTTGCAGCTTTGTCCATTGAGTGCTCCATTAGCTGACTTGTGTGTCAATTAGACATATCCATCTAGGTTCTTAAATTCCTATCTTGATTGCTTTTGGAGCATTTTGTTCCTCCCCTAAACCAAAAGACCTTTCAGGTTCTCTTGTGTGTTTCTCAAAGCAGTCCTGGATTTGGTCTTTTTCTCAGAGTCCTCCTGATTCTCTTGATTGGAGAATGGCCATATTTGTCTTAATGGCCTTTACTACAATCTCCCAATCCCTCCATGTCATATTAGGATCACAGTTATTTCTCGATGATTCTTTAGTAATCCCTGGAGTACCTTCAAAGACAGATGCCCAGAAGATGAATGCACTAGAACCCCCTTCTTTCACATCTCTCACTTCTCTGCTCCTACTAACATTGACACTTCCCTTTCCCTGCACCAACAACAAGAGCCAATGGTAAATTAAAAAGGAAAGCATACAGTGGCTATTAAGAGAAGTGAGCTCAAACTATCTCGAGTGACATATTAGTTTTTAATTAATGCTGCTCCCATTTTCTCACTTTCCCAGACACATGAATGCAACAAGAATCGTGTTGGCATCTGCGGAAGCAAATGGAGAGAACAGCAGTTTAAAGGGAGGGGATGAGCGCCCCCACTCCCGGTCTGGGTACACTCTGGGGCAGTTCACAATACCACAATATGCATGCGGAATGCCGGCAAGCAGTGTGGAAGTCTAGTTGGAGTTCCAACTGCTGTGGGAACACATTTCCTCCATGACTGGCTGTGTTTATTTCCCACCATTCTAGGCGCCTTTGAGGAAGACTGCAAGTACGCACAGGGCCAGATTACAGGAAGCATAGGGGTCACAGTGAGCAAATGAGTGCTCCCCACCCCAAACCCTGCCGCTTATTTCCAGACAGGCTCGAGAGGACATGAAAGGTCATAGCCCCTCCTTCTGTTGATATCTCAACGGCACTTCCTTCTTCACTCCCTCTTGTTTGGAGTATTGTTCCTCTGCTATCTCTGAGAAAGTCATTTGCTCTAAATTAGACTCAGCCAACTATTTGTCAGCACCAATGGTTAACATGGGCAATGCACCAAGGGACAGAACATTCCAGAAGCAGAAAGCCATGCATTATTGACAGACTACAGAATGGCAGCTGTGTGTAATGTTATATACATAGATGCTGGTTTTATGGACTTTTTTTTTTTTTTTTGTCTTTTAGAACTAGGCCTGGTGGTGAATACCTCAGCTACTGGGAGTCGGAAACAGGAAGACTACCAGTTCAAGGCCAGCAAGCTGGGGGCCAACTGGAGCTGTCTAGTGATTTCAAGGTCTGCCTAGGCTGCACAGGGGATTCACAACCAGCCAAGACTATATAGCAAGACCTTTTGGCAATCAGACAAAAACAACACCAACAAAACTGACCTTTTATTTCTAGACATGTGTACTCATTTACCACCTCCTAATTTCATAAGCAATGTATAAAGGCATTCTTGTTTTTCTGAAAAATGAAGTCATCATAGATGAAGTCAAAGTCCCCTTTCACATGCACACTTTACCCCTACTCTCTCCCACAACCCATCTAGGCCACTTTCCTTGCCAAATCCCAAGACAAAATCTGTTTTGAGTTTTGTGCATAGCTTCCCAGATAAAAAGGTAAATTAAAAAAATGGATGCTTGACTTCAGGGCTGTCTAATTCCAAACGGCACAGCTGACAATCACTGCCTCACTTCATCCTTCTCCCTTTCTCATTCCCCTGTCACTTAGCTGGAGTTGGTTATCACATTCCAGACAGTGCTCAGAATGGGGATGAGCCAAGATGGCTTGTGTTAAAATGGAATCAGCAGCCGCGCTCTCGAGAAAGCCTGGGGCTGGCCAACGTGTGCAAAAGTCCTCACTAATTAATCCAGACTGGACCAGGTCAAAGGAGGCAGACATGGAAGTGAGCAAGGAAGCAAATATCACCAAAGGATGCTGTTGGGAGAGGATGTAAAACGGAGAGAAAAGACCCAGGCAGAGGGGCGGGACCTGGGCAAGGAACAGTCTGGTTCTCAGCCCAGGAGAGACTCCCCAAAGCAAAACAAACCCACAGACTGGCAGCCGAGCAGACCATGATCAAGGGCCAAAGATATCGTTCTCCCAGAGGAGCTACTTGTTCTGACCAGGGCTCGCTTCCACAGAAGCCTGCTGTACTGTTTGTGACACTGGAACCCAGAAACTCCTGTTGTCCCCTTAAAAGACTCAAAGCTTTTTCTGGGTTTCTGTGTTGGTCCCAATGATTACAGAGGACTCAGCAGGTTGGGGTAAGGGCATGTTTATGTGTGTTTGCCAGAGGGAGTTCTTCCTTTTCTGGAAAATAGAAGCAAGTTTTGTTGTTGTTGTTGTTTAAGCTCCCATGTGCTTTTCCTGTTTCTATGTACATGCCCTTCTTCCCAGCAGACACAGACCATTAATCCTTGGGGAGGAGAGGCAGCTGCTTTGATAGGGAGAAGATGCATAAGTCTGATTTGGAAAGGAAGTGAAGAGGAACTTCTGACCTTCAAAACTGAGCACTGTGTATACAACATAGCAGAGAGCCAGGCATTAGAGGGAAGGAGCCGTTGTCTAACTCTCCAGTTCCCTGTTCACACATTTCAGACAGCAGACAAGCCCTGAGAGCTTAAAAGTACAGCAACCTGGGCAGAATGGCAGAAGTTAAGGCAGGTCTCCATCTTTCCCACCTGAACGTACAATAGTTCAAGGCAGTGAAAAGAGAAATGGACGAAGAGAGAGGAGAGATGGTTAGACATGTGGCCGGCCCTAATCGTCCTTCTCGAACAAGTCTATCTGTTCTTTAAAAGGTTAACAGGGGTGCAATAAAACTTTAGAATGTATGAGAAAGAGACAATTGTGAATTAGGGGGCATTAATGACAAAGCTTTAGACAGTGTTTTCTGAGGACGAAAACAAAGGAAAGGCATTCTGTGGCTGGCCGAAATGATAACACTGCGATATTTGGTCTGCACTAGGGGAAATTCCCTAGCTGTGAAGCAGCTTGTTAGCTGCCTTTGATCGGATGCACTTGAGCTGCGTTTTCTTCTGTTAACATTTATGAGGAAAAGCTAAGTTTTACTTGCTTTCAGATCAAGCAAATTCAAGTCAATTCTGTAGGCCTCACAGGGTTTGTATGCTGGGAGATTCTTTGGGCCTGGTGTTCATTTTAAATTACTTTTGTAGTATCTAACTACATGTACATACATACAATGGTGATGATAGATAGATAGATAGATAGATAGATAGATAGATAGATAGATAGATAGAAATAGATAGAGATAGATAGATAGATAGATAGATAGATAGATAGATGATAGATAGATAGATGATAGACGGATAGATAGATAGATAGATAGATAGATAGATAGATAGATAGATAGATGGATAGATATTTGGAATACACAAGTTACAACCATGTACAACAGGAGGCATCCAATGCAGTTAAGCAGTGGAAGCTTTAGCTGGATCCTTCCCAAGTCTGGCTTGCTCCTCTGAGCTCTCCCACTCTTTGAGACTCCTGAGACCCACTGGGAAGAAGATTCAATGACCACACAACAGAAGCTGAGAGGTGGAGAGTTGGAGCATGACAGGGGCAGAGGGAGGACATACTAAGACACTGGAGATGACAGCACCAACCAGGACAGAGAGGAAGCCAAGCTGGTAGAGGAAGACTCTAGGACCTGAACCAGGCATGGAGGAGAAAGCCAAAGAGTTGTTGCAAGCACGGGCATAAGCCTCAAGCACTAGTAACTAGTCTGGGGACAGTACCATCCTGCAAGGCACGTACATCACCAGACACCTGTCACATACACCTGAGAAGCAGCCTAGGGCAGAGGCTCCCCTCCCTTACCCCAGGTCTCATAAGCCCCCATTTAACAAGAGACAAGGAAAGGGATTTGCAAGACCAGGAAGCCATCTCTCAGAAACTAACCTCAAATAGATGGACCGGGTTTTGAAATTACTTGGACAGAGGCATACGCCTGCCTTTTCCTCAGCTACTCCTAATTTGCTCTGGGGAAAAGGTGGGGTAGTTCTGGACAATGAAGACTCTGGCAAAACATCAGCTGCTACATGATGTTAGTCATGATACTGGGAATGTCTTATTTTTGACTTAAGAATAAGAATGTGTCTTATTTCCTCGGGGAGAGAAGGGAAAGGAAGGAGAGAGAGAGAGAGAGAGAGAGAGAGAGAGAGAGAGAGAGAGAGAGAGAGAGAGAGAGAGAGAGAGAGAGAGAATTAGTGAATATTATTATCACTTGGGCAAACACATGCCTCTAATGCTTGGACTTTTCCCCTTATCATAAAAGCAGGGATGACGAACCACCGGATTTCTGTCTGGTGCCACCTTGCAGATGCACAGGGAGTTATACCTCTTCATACTCATGCCTCCTGTCTCTAAGAGCACCACACTCCTTGGGCCTTCTCCTGGCAGGCATTTGACAACTGCCTTTCTGTACTGGGTGTTCCAACTCTGCACGGTAGCTCCACCAGAAGCCAGGCCTTCTAGTCAAATCTCCCTTTGGCATTCTGGGTACAGGAAAGAATAAGCATCCTGTGTCTCCTGACAAGACTCCTACAAAGCTGCTACTGGTGGAGAGAAAAGGAGCTTGAGATGGCTCACAGGAGCCACTGTCTGCCTGCCTGCCTGCCTTCCATGATCTGCCAAGTAGGCAGGCAGCTTCTGCAAGAGCTAACCTGATAATCACAGAAAGCAAGAGGGGAGAGCTGCCTCCTGCATAGCCTTCCCAGACCCCAGAGTCTGAGCTTCTCTCCTGAGGCAACAGGGTTTCTCTATGTTGCCCTGGTTGTCCTGGAACTCGCACTGTAGAACAGGCTAGCCTTGAACTCAGAGATCCACCTGCGTCTGCTTCCGGAGTGCTGGGATTACACCACCCTGCACTATGTGATGTATTTTGTTTTTATATAAAAAATATATATACGGCTATGTGGTAGTTGTTTGTTTGTTTTTTTTTTTTTTTTTGAGATAACAAAAATATAGGGATGGAAAACAGACTCATGGTTGCCAGGGTTTGGGGACTGAGGTGAAAGTAGAAAGGAAGCAGCTGTGGTTGTTAGAGGATGGTATAAGAGACCCCGGTGGTGACCAGATGACTGTCCTGTGTCTGCAGCAGGAGATACACAGACCCGCACCTGACAACACACAGAACTTGTTGCACACGGGAGTGCTTGCTCAAAGCTGATGAAATCTGATGGATGTGGACATATTTCATCAATGTCAATTTTCTGCTAGTAATGCCGTTGTTACCATTTGAGAGAAACGGAGGGAAGAGTGTTCAGAAGTACGTTTCCGTAAGTACAAGGGCCAGATTTCCTAAAAGAAAATGTTGAGCATTTAGCTGAGGAATTTCAACAATAGAAGCTCTGAATGGGAGATCACCCCCAAAGCAAGGTCAAGGGTAAATGGCACCCTGACAAAATAACTACAGCTCACTCACAGATGGTGTGTTAGTTTTCTAAACCATAGGGAGCACCTGCCTCCCATTCAGGAGAGACACGGACAATAGACCGCTCATTGGAAAGGATAAGATGACTTAAAGGTCTCATGTTAAGATACAATATTTCAGTTGGAAGTGGAAACTAAAACTGTACCATCATAAACTTTACCTCTGCAATCCTCCTCCAGCTCCCTCACCTCTCCCTCTTCCAGCCGCCCCCCTCCCCCCCCATTTTTTCCCTTTATCCAGTGCTAGGGATAGAACTCAGGGCCATTTGCACACTGTGCAAGTTTTCTGCCACTAAGATATATTCTCAAAGATCATAACTTTTTTCATTAAGCACTCAAACTGGCAATAATCAGAAAGGCTTTGGCATCACCACCCTAGTGGATATTCGGGGAAGAGGCAGTCTCCTAGACTGACGGATGAAATTCAAGTGGCGTAACTTCCTATGGAGAACAGCTAGACATCTCTCAGAATCACAAACGCGCAGTTCCTATCGACTCAGCAATTCCATTTCTGCGAGTGTAGTCTTCATGTAAAGTCATCCATATGCAAAGTGACACACAGATGAGATTATTTATGGAGGCACTTGATGGAGAAGGAAAATAATCAAACGACATGTGCGCAAATCCTTTGGAGAATCATTGGAGAAATAATACCATAAAAAAAACATAAGAAAGCTTTTTAGAAGTGGATATGAACTTATCTCCATGAACGGGGAGGAAAAAAGCCAAGGTTAGTACATCTGCCACCACTTGGATGATGATGGAGGCATACATATCCTCATCCCTGCCTGCACGTGCTTAAAATACAGGAAAAGTGGGCTGCTGAGATGACTCAGTGGGTAAGGTTGCTCGCCTCACAAGCCTAGAGACCTGAGTTTGTTCCCTGGCGCACGCGCGCACGCGCGCGCGCACACACACACACACACACACATACACACACACACACACACACACAGGGTAATACTATAATTACTTTTCAAAGGAATGTAGAAAAGATGGATACATTTGGTGTGATTTTTGGAGATAACTTTTGTGATGAAGATCTGGGGCTGTAGGGAGATTATTTTTCTCTATGTACACAGTATCCTGATATCTGGATGTTAAGCTCTGCACCTTAATGGTACACTGAAAAAACAAATAACTAGGCTGAAGGTATAATTTAGTGTCAGGGTGCACAAGGCTCTGGCTTTGATCCTCAACACTACAAAATTTAAATTAAATAAAAGTGAGTTTTTATTTTTTTTCTTTTTTTAAGAGAGACACTGAAATTTAAGAGAAAACCACAATGTCTCCTCAGGAATGAAAGCAACTTGAGCCTTTGCATGTGACAGGGTATGGGGACCAGTTGATGGTTAGAGACATTGAGTGGGGACAAGTGATGCAGTCACCTAGTGTCTGGTGATGACATGCTGATTATACACCTGCCCAAAGAACTATGTCAGTAAGAAAAACCCAAAGGACATGTTTAAGTGGCCCTGACTTACATTTCATTTTTCATGCTGAAGTTACTCCTACAATGACCTGATTTCACTTAATGCATTTATGAGACATCTCGTGTTATTTTACTTACCAACAGAGTGTCCAAGCAGCCTGGGGCAATTTCAAGAAAAATGCTTCCAAACCCTGAGGGCTGCATTGTCCTCCCCACAAGGCAAGCCCGGGTCCTGATGTAGTTCCTCTGGCTGCATCAGAAGATGCTCCAAAGCCACAGCCAAGCCCCTGCTCTGCATCTGAGACTTGACCATGATGTCTAAGTCGTGGCATCACTAAGGTGAGCAAGGGGGGCTGCTTACTGCCGCCTACTCCATCTATCCTCTCTTAGATGTCTTTATTGGATCTAAGACTCTGAAGCCACTTGCCCTCTGAGGGGACTCCTTCCTGAACTATCGTCGGAGGGCCTGCTATGTTTTCTGCTCTGACTGCAAACGGAATTCCTAAGGATACACTACATGGAAGGTTCCAGGTTCCGTTTTCAATGTCAGAAATAAAGCTATCTCGGTAGACTCCTCTCTGCATCCTTTTCACATGGGTGAGATGGTGCCATTGCATCATCCTCTTTTATTCTTTGAGCCGCTATGCGGTTGCTGTGGCGTAAGTGGGCAGCTGCGATACTAACAGATGTATTCAAAGAAGAGAGACTAAACTGTGATCTTGGAGGTCCATGGAAAGTAGCCTGTACATGGGCAGCAGGATCGAATACACAAATCATACTAGAGTTTCAGTTTATTTGCCTAATGTGTTTGAAAATGACTCAATTTATTGCAAACCAAGACTTGGGAATCTCAGCTTCCAGGATGGCAAACTAGTGTTAGTCTCCACATATTTCATCATTTTGCCTAATTAATTCCTCCCCATGGCACACAAACATCTCCATCTACAACCAAACCAGTCTCTCTCTCTCTCTCTCTCTCTCTCTCTCTCTCTCTCTCTCTCTCTCTCTCTCTCTCTCTCTCTCTCATTCCCTTCCCATTGGCATCATATAAATGGTATTCAGAAGGCGCAGATGATTCTCCCAAGTGTCTCTAGGCACTTGCTGAGGTTTCCTATCAGTCATTATCAGGTGTCCAGTCCCATGCTTCCCAAAGTCTTACTCAAAAGAAAATCAAGAAAGGAGAAGTCCAGTCATGGGAAACAAATACAGTGCTGATGAGATGGGTTTTCCCAGTTCAGATTAAACTAGGTGCATCAGCTTGTGCTGCAAAGGACAGGGGAGGAAGAAACTAATGAAGACTGGATTTAGCAACAGAAGAAAATTACTGACTCATTTGCCTGAAAAATCCACAGGTGGTTTTGGCTGTAGGTTTGTGTAATCTCTCTCTCTCTCTCTCTCTCTCTCTCTCTCTCTCTCTCTCTCTCTCTCTCTCTCTCTCTCTCTCTCTCTTCAAGCAGTTCACCAAACACAGTTGTTTTCCCTAAGTCCAACTCTTCATTCCAAAATGCCGTGCAGAAGTTTCAAGGGCTAGATGGTTCCAGCAAGAAATAGACACTAGCCATATTTGTTCCCAACAAAAGCGCAATGTGTTGCTTTAACTGGATTGGCTAATGTTGAATGACCCTGTCACTATAGCCAGAAAGGAAACGCACAACTTGTTAAAGTGGGTAGAGTCATCATTTCCAGCACATCCTGAAAAAAATGGGGAATGTTAGGGAAAGAAAATTAGTTGGGGGAAGAGTGGCAAGAAAGCAACCAACATGTTATATTGGGTAGTTTTATGTCTGCTTGACACAAGCTAGGGTCATCAGAGAGGGAGAGTCTCAATTGAGAAAATGCCTCTATAAGATCAGTCTGTAGGCAAGCATGTAAGACATTTTCTTAATTAGTGATTGATCGGGGAGGGCCTGACCTATCTTAGGTGAGGCACCTTGGACAGGTGGTCCTGGGTGCTATAAGAAAGCAGGCTGAGAAAGCAGCACCCCTCCATGGCCTCTGCATCAGCTCCTGCCTCCAGGTTCCTGCCCTGCTTGAGTTCCTGTCCTGACTTCCTTTGATGATGAACTGTGATGGGAAAGCATACAATGAATAAGCCCTTTCCTTCCCAAGTTGCTTGGTCCTGGTTTTTCATCACAGGAATAGTAACCCTAACTAAGACACATATTTACTGCAGTTGAAGAAGGCAAAGCTGAACTGAAGGGGGGGATCTAATTATTGAAGACATTCAACCTATATTTCTTTAAAAACATCTTATGCTGTAGTTATATTTCTTTCACACATATGCATTAACTCAAATTAGGCCTACGAAGTGCTGACAGGTACTCCCTTGAACGAAGAGATTTGATTGATCGGCAATTAGCCTCTCAATTATATGTGCTTTATTATTTTTTTCAAGTAGGTACCTTAAAGGCGGCTGCTCTTTGAAGGTAAGCATACCCAACCACCCACTCAGGAAATGCAGCTCATTTTTGTGGTTTGAAATCAGGAGATCACTGAGGTAAGAGGGAGCAATGCCTACTAATTACAGACATGAAGGGCCACTCAAAGTGACCACCTTACATGTCTTTCTTCACAGAACTCAAAGAATGAAGGAAGATGTAAGACCTGACTGAGAGAATCTGGTGATGAGCAGTGGATGAGGGCAAAGGGCCCACATTTCTACCAGACAAGCACTTGTAAGTTTTTTAACAAGGCTGCCATCTTTAACAATGTAAACATAATCTCAATGTATTTATAATTGTTGCTGTGGCAAATCTTCCCTCATCTAGAAATTGCAAAGAGAGAGATTGATTCTTCATGCTATAGTGAAACTCCAATAATATTATAAACAGAGATTGCAGGGAAGGATGCACCTGATTGTCTTGCTTGCCCAGGGCAGACATAACTAATCAATCAATGTTTACTCTTCTTCTAAGCTTCTTAGAAATGACTTTACAGTCTTTCTTAACAAAATGCCCCTGGGAGCACTAGCCATTGATCAGACTTGGAAGTTAAGATAAAACCATCTTGACATAGCACATCTCAGCTGATTCTTTCTCATTTTCCTTTCCTTGGATGGTTCTCCTAAGGACACAATACATTTGATGGCTAAACTCAGTGTCCTCTGTGAACCTTCTTTCTTTTGAGGTAATTGTCTCTCTTCCTGGCTCTTATGGGATCATTTTCCTCAAGGACTAAATGTTGTTTCTTTTACACTTTAATTGGATGTATTTATTGTGGGTTCATGTGTGTGTTTGTGTGTGTGTGTGTGTGTGTGTGTGTGTGTGTGTGTGTGTGCGCTCAAGAGTGCACAGGTGCACATGCATGCATGTGTCAAGTGCCATGGTAAGTGGGTGAAGGCCTGAGGGTAATTTGCAGTCGTCAGTTCTCTCCTTCTAGCATGTACGTCCCTGGGGTTGGACTCAGTCATCAGGCTTGGCAACAGGTACCTTTACCCATCAGTCCCCCAAGGACTATTTTTAAGCATACCCATTTATTCTCTAGCCTCTCCTTGTGTGGCTGTCGGGGACAAGCAGCGATGAGTTAATCTGAACTTCTTCTCAGTATCCATCATCCATCCCCTTTTGGCAGAAAGGTCCTTGCCCCTGCCCTCCATAACAGAATAAGTGTACATTTCCTTCTGAAGACCTTCCTCATAGTAAGTAAGTACATCTAGCTTTCCATGCTGTTCAGGGCTTTCTATATTTAATGTGTGCCTATCATTTCTCAGCATGGAGTCAGTGTTCCACCTGCATCAACATTTGCTAGTGTGGTGTGGAGGGGGGAGAGTGTCCTTATTAAAAATGCCATTTCCAGCCCTTTCTCTGGAACCATGAATCAGAATTTCTCATCTGATTTTTTAATTGATTTCCTGAGGTGATTTCACGAATCTATTCAAGTTTGAAAATACCTGCTCTAAGAGAAAGGTTGGAGGAAAATCATAGTGAGTCTATCTAAACAGGAGCCTTAAAAGGTTTTAACAATGGTATTCTCCCAAGCTCTATTGATTTTTAGGGGGTGGGTCTGTGTCTGATCCTTCCTAAGCCATCACTGACTCATATCTTGCGGTTCTTTTCTTCAGAAAGTCAGGAGAGAACATGGCCAGATTAAGAGGTAGGTCAAAGGAATATTTGTGCTAGGCGCCAGCCCAACATGGTCACTCAGACATCACTGAAAATAATACAAGGTCTGAGAACATTGTACTTACTGGAAACTCAGAAAGGAATGTGTCAGTAGGAAGGAATAACTTGATAATCTGCTGGAGGAGGAAACATCTAATAAGCTCGTCTGAATATTAACAAAAACAACAGGAAAGATCTAGGGCCATCTAAAAAGACTACATGTGCGAATCATGAGGCTTTGATTTTTCTGCATGGAATGTTTCAAGTTTGGGTCAGTTCAATGATCCAATGTATTGTAAGGACTGGGTTCCCAATGTCTGTGGCCTTCCTTGATTGCTTAACTACCCGTATGGTCAAGTGTTCTTCTCAATTAATGGATCAACAAATACACAAAATACATCAGTTTTAAGAGAGACCAACATTTTGTCCCTCTCAGGAACTTCAGTACTTCTGGTCCTGTCAAAACCGGCTGATCCCTTGCTGTTACATCATCCATCTTGATAGGGTTTTTTTTGTTGTTGTTGTTGTTTTGTTTTTTTCTACTTAGTCTCGATGCCATTCCCTCAAATGTTAGCTTAGACTTTAGAGACCGGAGGATTAGTGCATTAAAAATAGAAAGAGAACCAATTAAGCCCCTACTCTCTAAATAAGGGTTATTTGCATCTGTGAGGGAACTCTGACAAGCGTGACAAGCAACCGAATTAATGAAAGTCTCATGGCTTCTAGAAAAGTGGAATCAGGCCATTTGCTGACACCTCTCTCTCCTAGCAGGGACCTTTGAACTCAGTCTAGAGCCTGGCAGGGGCCATTGCCCAATTCCTATTACATTCCAAAGGTGTATCTCTTACCTTCAACACAATCAAGCAAAAAGATAGCTAGTATTCTGGCACTTTCTTGTTTCACTCAAAGGGCCTGCAATATATAACATAAACTCCTCGGGTTCACAGAACATCAAGGACTTAGCTGTAGAACTTTCATCCTGAGGGTACAATCATATGTCCTCTCACTATCTGTACTGTCTGTTCCACTACTCATGTCTGTATGTGAGAAACAGGACCAGATTCAACTCTATTAGACAAAGCAGCACTTTCTCCTGGAGATTTTCATTGCAGTATACTTTTTGGATGAATTTCCCCTAGATAATTATTTGTATAAAATATTAGTAGACAAGGGACACTCTTCGCTTGTTCAGTGCTCCTAACACTATCCAAAATGAAGATGGAAGTAAATAAAATACATAATGAGCCTTCTTACCATTGTGTTCTGTTTTAGAATTCATTAGGCTTCTGATTCAAGATGGCAGTCTGAGCTGAGCATACACTACTACGATTTCTTCCCAGGATTGGCTGGAAATCACACACACACACACACACACACACACACACACACACACACACACACACACCCCACAGAGCACACATGGGGACATAGAAGTGGATTACTAACACTTAAATTTTGAGGGCTTCATGGAGGGTGTCTGATTTTATCCAATAGATAGAAATAAAGTGAACATATAACAGTCAGAGCACAAGAGCCAAGCTCAGGAGCTTTCAAAGACAAAAGGAAGGACAAGTTAATGCTTTTAAATGGAAGAACAGACTTAGCATTCATACTCAAGTCTTCTATAGAAAGACTATGTTTTAACCCTCCCAAGGGGTTCTTACCTCCAAAAGAGAGTTGATGGCAGCTACTATTGTATTCTGGAAAAAGTAGCTTGAAAAGATTTCATGATGAAAGTTGTCACTTTGTTGCAATGAAAAATATGTAACAATAAATTATTGCTTTGAAAAATATCACTTTAAAAGATAATGCCTAGGACAATGGCTTATTAACAATCTTACCTTTTTGTCGGTTGACTGGGCTCAGCTTAGTGGTTTTCTCCATCAGGTCCAGGCAGAGATGAAATGAGGCTGGTGGAGTCAGTTTCCTCGTTCGTGTGCCTGGGAGCAAGCCATTCAAGTATCTAGAAAATCTGTAGTCTGGTCATCTTTCATCTCTGTACAACTAACTCCCTGTGGCTGCTTGGGCTTCCTCACACTATGGTGGTCTTTGGATAGTTGGGTTCTTTACATGCCAGATGGATTCTCCATAGTAAGTGTTCTAAGACACAGGGAGGGAGAGTTGACTGAGACCCAGAACTGATAGCATCACTTTGGTTGTATTCTGAATCAAAATGATTACAGAGCCTCCCAGACTCAAAGAAAGAGGCATCAAATGCCAGCCCTCAGTGACAAAAGCAGACAAATGGTTATCATAGCCTTATCTATACTTGGAGATTTCTAGAAAGGGAGTTAAGGAAATAGCAAGACAAATAGCAAAGGAGTGCCCCTCCCAAAAGCACTTGGCACGGGCAATTATGGGGATCTTCAACCTTTCCCTGTTCCTGGTCCCCCACACAGTCCAAGGCAGGCTGTCATATTTGCGGGTTGTAGTCTTATATTTAGTCTTTCTCTTTAAGGAAGAGGCCTTTTGTGAAAGAAACATGGACAACTGTTGAGAAAAATGTACATCACCTACCTATACGTGTCATTTAAGTTACAGCACTTGCTGAAAAAGATTGCAAGGCATGAGAAAAAAAAATAAAGTACCAGGAAAAAGAAATGGAAGGATCAGTGGAAACTCAATCATCTCAGAAGAGAAGAAAAAGATATAATCTGTAGGAAGAAGGTTAGAATTATTTTAAAATATTCAGATCTCTGCTGATTGGCTTGAAAATATTTGTAACTACAGATTAAGACTAATGCCTTTTGAAAAGACATTAACCCAAAAATATTTTAAACCTGGTAGAACATTTAACAAGAAGGAATTTTGAAATTAAATCACTATGGAATTTAGATTTCACCAGATGGAGGCGAAAACTGGACAAGGATGATGACCAAGTTGTTGAATAGAAAGTAAGGTCAAGAATCTTAGAACTTGGAGCAAAAAGGAAAGCAAAATGTACACATGGAAACTGCGGAGGCACATGTAGCAAACCTCAGAGACTAAGACCAATCTAAAAGACTTTCTAGGAAGAAAAGGAGGAATCAAAAAATTTAAAATGATTAGAGAAATTAAACACAACAATAAATCCCTGGAGCTGACAGACAATGGACTCTTAAAGACAATGTCTACTGAGAATAAAGTAGAACATATAAGAAAATGCCACACCTAGAGACCCACCGAGCAAAGACTTCCTAACTTACATGATAAAACAAATTTCCTCAAAGCTTCTAGAGATACAAAGAGGAAAAAACTCAGGGAAAGATAAATAGACCAACAGCCATTTCTGATCAGGAGCACTAGGTTCTAGGCAGAAAATCAATAGTATAACTCAAATTTCCAAGGAGACATTGTTTTGGATTCTATACCCAGCCAAGCTATCAACAACATTTAAGGACAAGAACAACAAAGACCTTCATGGATAAATAAGGACCCAATCGGTATGTGTTTTTATTTCTTATCTGTGAAGAACCTATTTCCTCATAGAGAAGAAGTCCTCCCATAAAACAATGGGCAAATACAGGAGAAAGGCTGGCATGGAAAACACATAGTTAGGAAAGCTGAGGACTAGAAGGAGAGGTAACATACAAGGCTTTTAAAAATAGTGTGCTTGGGAAGAAAAGATTGACAAGTGAGAGCTTCCAAACTTTTAGAAGTTTATAGTAATAAAAATAAGGCCCAAGGAGTAGCAAACCAAAAAAAAATTACTTGTATCATGTATGACAAGGAATTATAATGTATGAAGTGTTTTTATAAGACAATTTTCAAACTAGAAATGGAAAGATGGGTATCACAAATGAGAAAGCTGCAAAAGGAAAAAGTAAATGGGGCCAGATAACCAATGTCATTCCCTCTGTTTCCTCCTAGAAGTTCAGTCTGAAATCTTAATTCCACCCTGGTGTGTGAAGTACCAGGTGAGTGTGGTGGGAGGGAACTGGGAATTCTGGGAAGCCCTGCCTTTTCATAGGAGACACTGGGATCATAAGGGTTGACATTAAGTAGTCAGGAGATACTTTTTCAACAGGTGCTTTGTACAGGCAGCTGGAGAAAGAAAAGTTAGGCGATGGAGAATTGTTAATAAACGTGACTATGCCTCTTGTATGTGTTTACTAATGGTCACATGTGTTCCTTACACCCTGGTGCCATCATGACTTCCTGAAAGAAGCACTCAGAACTCTTGCCACTTGATGTTTTTCATCCATGTCTTCAGCCATACGCTGTTGAATCTTCCTCCCATTCCTATAGTCAGAACCCAGACAAATGATTGAACTTTCTCTTCACTCTTAGTTCAGAAATTAAGGTAGCAACAAGGTTTAAAACAGATGTCCCATTTTAAAATCTCTGTCTCTCCTAATTAGCTCTGGAGGTGCATGGCTTTGTACTGGGGGTGGTCTGCTTTTATTCTCACTCCTCCCTTATAGGGTTGGATGGGGTCATGACCTTATTATACTTTGTTCTCATTTGTTCCCCTCCTCCACTGCTCTTCCTTGTACTCCCTGACCCCCTCAAGCAATAAGGGTGTCTTCAAACCACCTTGCTGAATCAGAACTGGGGTAATGACCAATCAGACCACACCTTGAGCAAGATGCTTGATCATGCCTACTTCTACCCCTGGCTAATTCATTAAGCCTAAGGTCCCATTGAAGATGGACTTGGAGTTCCCTGAATCCTTCTATAAGTATTTCCCAAGGTGGCCACATTGATTAAATCTCCTTTCCTGGCTTTTTACCATTAAGCACCTCCTGAATGAGTTACCTGGAATGAGTAGCGCTGTGGATATGTTCTGTATGCTCTGAATGTGTTGCTCTGATTGGTTAATAAATAAAGTGCTGCCGGGTGGTGGTGGCGCACGCCTTTAATTCCAGCACTCGGGAGGCAGAGGCAGGCGGATCTTTGTGAGTTCGAGGCCAGCCTGGTCTACAGAGCGAGATCCAGGAAAGGCGCAAAGCTACACAGAGAAACCCTGTCTCGAAAAACCAAAATAAATAAATAAATAAATAAATAAAAATAAAATAAAATAAATAAAGTGCTGATTGACCAGTAGCCAGGCAGGAAGTATAGGCAAAACAAAGAGAGAGGAGAATTCTGGGAACAGAAAGGCTGAGTGAGGAGATGCTGCCAGCTGCCACCATGAGAAGCAGATATTAAGATACCAGTAAGCGACGACCCACGTGGCAACTTATAGATTTAATAGAAACAGGATAACTTAAGATAAATTAAGAAATAGGATAACTGGATAGCAAAAAGCCTGCCATGGCCATACAGTTTATAAGTAATATAAGCTTCTGAGTGATTATTTTATAAGTGGGCTGTGGGACTGCAGGGGGCTTGGTGGGACCCAGCGAGAAACTCTCCAGGTACAGAGTGGCCTAGCCTAGTCGGTTTAGGGTTTCTCCCTAAAGTGCTTGTAACAACTTCACTGTAGCTCCGCATTACTAATGTCCTCCTTGTCTGTCTTGGGCCCTACAGTCTCTGTGTCTCCAAATGGCTCCTGGCTATTAGTGTTTTCACCTGGCTGAGCTATGGGCACATCTCTACTCTGTTACTTTTCTAACTCCCATAATCCTCCACATGATACTTGAAGTATAACTAGATTCCTCTTGCTCTTGGGTGCTCCTAGGATGAGACTCTCCTAGTCTCTGTCTGGCATCTTTCTCCACGTGCTAAGGACTATGCTTTAAGAAGTCTCAGAGGAGGGACTGTCAAACACATAGCGCACTCCAACAACGTGGTCAGCTCCTCCTGAGAATTATCCCATAGTGCCCTGCTCTAAGGATACCACTAGAGTAGCTTTTGGTCTCCCTAGTAACAGTTCCTACTTCCAGCAGGAACTCAAAATCTCTCCTTCAAATGCTCTTGGACAGCATTCCTGCCCCTCACTTGGGTTTTGTTAATGTTTGGTTTGGTGTTTTGAAGACCAGGCTTCCGTACCCTCATAGCCATGCCTCACACACACTGCATGAAAAGTCCTCAACTTTGGGTGGCCCCACTTTTGTCACAGGACAAACATAATAGGCATTCAGTAGGAAACCGACTGCAGATTTTGAACTTGCTCTGCTCCAAGGCTAGCAATGTGTAAGAATAAACCCCTTACAGTGTTGGGCAGCAGTGGCCACCACAGCTCCCAAGCAGTCGTGTGATCATGCTGTCAGGCTGAGATGTTTGGAAGGTGAGATCTATGCACTGCATTTTCTACTTAAGATATCCTCAGTTTAGGACGGGATTATCTGGACACACCCCATGGCACACTGAGCAACACCTGTGCTTTAAGCTTCTTATGATTTTCCTACCCACCCCTTCTTGGTAACACTCTAAACCCATTCCCTCCACTAAAGCAGACATCTTCCCAGTTTCCACCTGTGCCCCTAATACCCATAGACTGGGTCATACTTGTATTTGGCCCTTGGCGTTGTGGGAGATTTCTAAGGTGGTCAGCAGCTCTGTGGAAAAAGAAAAGCCCAAGCCTGCATCTGAAACGTGAGGCTACTTCTCCTAGATGGCCATTCATATGTCAAAATTCTGATTTGTTTTTTCATCTCTTTACATTTGAAAAGACCAGAACATTAATTAACATACGACTCAACGTGAAAACACAAATAGAAATCGTAACAAAAGTCTAACCTTTAAAGGGTTTGCATTTAAAATCTCAGAGAGAAAAAGCAAGTGATTATTTTATTGATGCATCTTCTCTACCAACTCTCAAAACCTGCAGGTGTTAAATTAGCTGCAAGAATTTCTCCAGCTTTCCAAGTCTGCAGGAGAAACATGCTAATGAGGACTGAAGGAAATTAATGGAAGAGAGTCCAGGAGGCTGGGAGGAAAGTTCAGCACCGCTTCCTACATCGGGGATTTTTAGAGAGGCGCCTTCAATTTACCACAAGCCAAGAGCTCATGAGTAAAATACAGAAGTGTTTGAATCTACACCCTTAAGCATTTCCTTCTGACACACAGGATTGAAGTCTGCTGTAGGTAATATCGGCATCTGAGGATCTCATACAGGAAGCGGGAAACATAGAGGAGGATCCCGACAGCACCCCTACACCTGCACCCCTTAAGACTGTAGAACAAGAAGACAGGCACAAGCTATTATAAGAATTTTGGCTTAAGTGTGAAAGATGAGTCTAACGACAAGTTTTCAACAAACGAAAGAACCACAGTTTAGCCTGATCAAATGTCTATTTCACACATGAAAAACTAAGACACAGAAAGACTAAAGATGGTCTGAACACAAGCATTATGGTTTGTGACAATGTTGAGACTTGAATTTGTGTCTAGGTACCAAATGTACTAAGCCATCTTGATGGTAACAAAGACACGCATAAGGGTGTTATGTGAACGCTCATGCTATTCCTGTGGAATCAGTGACCAGAGGGTAGTGATTGTTATGGGGGTGACCCAAGGGCCATGATTCATGCCTTTATTCGTATTCCAGTAAATTGGGCTGATAGTCATCTACTGAATGCCTGCTATACTAGAGTCCTAGAGAATTCATCATTGACCAAGGGAGATGAATGACTGATACACAAACAAATGTTATCCAGAGTGATAAATATTAATCAAAATACTAAGCGAACAGTGGCAGGGGAACAGTTCATTCTGCCCAGGCACAGGAGAGTGAGGAGACATCCAGCAGACAGTGAGGAAGGATGACAATTTTGTTTGTTTAATGAGATGTATTCTTATTTGAATTGCCTCTTTGAATGATACAGTGTTTATGAAGAAAAAAATGGCAGAAGTGTGAAATTATGAACAAAAGCAGGCCCCAGAAGGAGCTCGGTAAGTCTGGGGAATGGTAGGTAAAAGTTTGGAGGAACTGGCTGTATTAGTATCAGCTGGGTTGATAAACATCTAGGACATGGAGGATTCTGTTCTACACATTACAGCAAGATAATGGAGGCCATTTAGGATGGGTGGGACTGGATCAGATTTGGGGTTTGGAAAATTATTCCATGGGTGGTTTCCAGGATGGATGTAAAAGGAAGACTATATTCTAAAAGTCTATAAGTCAATAAAAAACCATTGTAATATTGTACAGGAAAATAAACACCTGCTAGAGTTGTGCCAGTGTGGACGCGGAGGAGAATGAGCTGGGAATGAGCTGAAAGCGGACCTGATTGCATACAACAGCTGAGCTCCTCCAGCTCCTGAGTACAGCTGATGTATTGTTCAGGGTGGTAATGGGGCTGATACTCCAACCTGCCAATCATGGACCACTGGTCTCTTCTTGACTGCCTAATTGATTTAATTTCTATTTCTGCTATGCCCACAGTCTGCTATTACTATATCATTGGATGTCTATCTTCCAAAGCTAATTAAAAATTAAATTGTGTCCTTCCTCCTCAAAATTTACATGCTGGAGTCCTAGCCCCATAACCCAGAAGGTATGTTTGCTCCAATATAGGATTATGATTGAAGTAGTCAAGCTAGATGAGTTCCTATATAAAAAGGAGAACTTGGGATCTAGATGTCCATACAGGAAGAGTGCCCAGTGAGGAAGGCAGAGATCAAGGAGATGCCTCCTCCAACCTAGACAAACTAGTAACATGGTGGCACAAAACCATCTGTAACTCTAGTTCCAGGGATCCAATATACTATTCTAATTTCCATGAGTGACAGCCAGCAAGTCTCCAGGAGTACCAGATAACACATTTCTGTCCAGAAAAGCAGCTGCACTGCTTTTTAGAGAAGCCCCAGCAAAGTAAACACTGGGCTCCACTCAAGCAATTCCCATAAGAGCCTTTGTTGACTGCTTAACCTACAGCAGTGCCTCCCTGTCACAACACCTTGTTTTCTTGTCTTCACAGTGTTTAATGTTACCTTATGTTATGCTATTAGTGTAATGTAATATAATATAATATAATAAACATTTGATATACCCTGCCACCACTCACACCAGACATACCTTGCCCTGCCACCCTTAGTACATACAATCTATGACACTGAGAGAGTTCTTGGTATTTACTGTATCTTTAAATCTTTAGAGGAATATGGCAATAGTAGATCATTAATAAAATAGAAATACTTTATTAAATTAATGGAGAAAATAAATGATTATAGTTAACACTAATGTCATTACAACGTAAGAGTCAGTATTTTTCTTAATCTTTAGAGTGTTTGGGAGGGCTTGTCCTTTAGGGTAGAATCGTCTGGGGTCCCCTCACTCAAATATTTGGAATGACTTGAAGATGGGATGCATCCACTAGAATGCTAGAGGGAATCTCTCTGGCTCCCTTCCTACATACTGCCTACGTGCCTTGTTCAACTTGGAGGACAGGCTGCCCAAGGCCAGAAGTCCCTCTAAAGGTGTACTGGAGCTGTTTGGATCTAAGATATCTGCCAGAGTGATCTCCAGAAAACCTTTAACTTCATTATAGTTTTATCTTCATTCTAAATAACATACCTTCCATCACTATGACTGTTGATGGCTGCTATGGCTAGAAAGAACTGAGAAAAGAGTGTTTGTGGGGAGGGAGCAGAATTCCCTGCCCATTTTCAGTGAAACGGCAAACATTCCTCCCATTTATTAACTCATTCCTTCCTCCCATTTATTTTGTTCTATAGCTATGATCTTCCTACCCCCTCATGGTTGAGAAGCTTGTGAGATCTCCTGTTTCTCTTATTCTTGGTCAAGACTAAAAACCTCAAACAGTGCTCAGTTGGACTTGTCATTGGTGGACTCATGGAGGCTCAGAACTCCAAGCAAGAGGGCTAGAGAGAAGAGGAAAAGTCATTGCTCTTATGGGCGTCGGAAACGTCAAAATGTCACTTGCATAATGCTCTGTTATTGGAAACATCTATATCTGTATCCAGACTGAAGGAGTGGGGTCATAGAGCCTATTTCCTAATAGGATGGCCACAAAGATCACCAATAGAAGAGGATTTGGGGTGGGAAATTATTCATCTAGCCTTAGAAAATAGTTACTCGTGATTCATATTAAAATGCTGATTCTTAATTCTGATTTCTGGGCCTCAGTCCAAGATGAGAAGACTTTCTGGGCCCCTGGGAATCAATACTTTCATACTTTCAGCAAAGATACCTGGTGTTTTTAATGCAGAGGCACATGACCCCCTGTGTGAGAAGTACTCCAAACCTGCTTAATGCTTCCTGGCTGCCAGTGATCCATTTTGAACACACAGTGGGTTTGTTATGCATTCTCCCCAAGAAAGGAAAGTTGGGCATAGTGTGGGTGGGTGGAGAAATAGCTCAGCAGTTAAAGAGTACTGGCTGCTCTTGCAGAAGACCCAGGTTCAGTTCCCAGCACCCACATGGTGGCCCAGAACTATTCGTAACTCTAGTTCTGGGAATCCAATGTACTCTTCTGACTCCCATGCGCACCCAGCACACACATGATGCACATAAATGCATGCAAGCAAAACCTGACTCCATGAAAACAATTTGTATGGTAGCAAAAATTACTGTATTTATATGTTTAAAAAAATGCAATGGAGCAATTTTACAGAATGAAAACAAAACAAAAACCTAGACACCAAAATCTAGGTCCTCTACAAATACAACTGTTCTCAATATCTACCTAAGGAAATTGCTACCCTTCTCCTGTGAGGGCAATACAGACCCCCATCTTAGGGTAGGGCCACCATCTTTGACCACCTGCTGTACTCAGTTCCAGGAAGGACCTCAGGAATGTGCCATGACAACTTGAACACATACAGAGCAGTATGTTCCTGCAGACATTCTGCCTGCCGTTTATGTCCCTTGAAGATATCTAGATAATCCCACTGAGCAATCCAGATAATCCTGTTCAGTGGGTTGTGATTCCCCACCAAAAGTCTAACCCAATGGTTTCAAATGTGGCTTCTCACCAAAAGTCTAGCCAATAGTTTCAAAAAAAAAAAAAAAAAAAAAAAAAAAACCCACCTTGCCCCATATCCCTTCTACCCAATCCTAAGTACATAATTCCCGGCTTGTGGTTTTTCCCTATAAAAACTCTATACACCTGGGCTCATGGCTGCTGCCACATTTCCTTCCATCTGCTGTGTGGTAGCCCAGGTTGAACCTGACAATAAAAGGACCCTTATGTGCTTGCATCAGAAACCAGCTCCTTGGTGGTCTCTGGGGATTTCGAGGATACAACACTCCTAGTGCTGATCCGTGAATTTACTGTTAAGTCCCTTGGGGGGGGGGGGGGGTGGTTTATAGACTTTCTTGGGGGCATTCTCATGCTATCTGTATCCAGAGAACTGCTTTAAAAATCTCCCCAGCTGGCAGTTCCTAAAAGAGGCAGCTGCCTGATTTCTCATCTGGGCTTCTGAGATGGTTCCTTTCTCATTGTTCTCAGGTTCACATCCACCTTGTTCTTCAGTGGGCATCAGATGCCACATGCTGATATGATCCTATTCATCTAAATCACTAGGATTAGCTTATTCTAAATTTGGATCGTCTCATAGTATTTTATTTATTTATTTATTTATTTATTTATTTATTTATTTATTTATTTTAACTGGTAATTCCAAATGACTTGCAGGCCTTTGTGAGAAATGACATGGTTTGGATCATTTTCTGGCTTTTTGGGGTTTTTTTTTCACCCTTTTTTTTTTCTTTTTTAAGCTTGTCAATCCCTTGCAAAAGTTGGAATCTGACTTCTTTGCAGCAATTGCCCTTCAGTGGGTCACACAGCCCCAGTGCCACATTTTAGACTCTGTAGCGTATTCTAAATAAAGTAGAAGGGTTCTCATAAGAGGATCGCCAGACATTTCCTTGTGTTGGGTGAGCCCAGAGGATTCTGGGCCTCCTGCGAACATTACAGGAAACTGTTAGAGGTCTGAAATTCAGACTCAACAAGCTCTGCTGCAGCTCAGAACTGGAGAGGAAAGGAGGCCAGGTCGATGCCCAGAGAAACAAAAGCATCAACAGTCAGCAGATCCTGGAGGGTCAGATGAGCTAACGGCTTTTGAGCGAGTTCAGCTGAGCCGGTGGAGATTTAATAGAGCGGAGAAGCCAAAAACTCTTCCGAGAAAACGTAAACTTTAAGTCCATACATAGCCCTCCAGTCTCAAGCAGCCAGCAGGTACGGCCCCTCAGACTGAACAGAGTGCTGAGGCCCCAGAGCGGAGGATGTGATGCTCAGAACCTTCTCTGCAGGGTGGCCTCAGATCTTCTGGATTGTTCCACACCAGGGTACTTAAGCACTTCCCCCTTCTTCCCTAAGATCCCCCAAAGCAAGGGTCTCTGTGAAGAGAAGGAGCTGTACACTGGCAGGGGAGGGATCCTCTTGGGTTCCGGAGCAGAAAGTGGGTGGGAGGAAGGGCATTTCTGAGTCATCCGCCGGATGCTGCCCTTTACAAAGTTAATCAGGACTTCAGTTGTTTATGATAATGATGGTAATCATGATTACTTTAGGGAACTTAGCGCTCGGCGAGGAATACCTTCCGCGGATCTGTGTGGATGTTTTCTTTATGGTCGCAGCCTTCCTTCGCCAGCCTTCTTGCCTCTCCTTTCCAGCGAATGCTCACTCGCTCGCTGCCCATCTTCTCCTTTTCCCATTTCCTCTCTCCATGTTTTCCGAGTTTAGAGTAACTAAGCATAGAAAGTTGAGAGAAACATAAGCTAAGTCTACCAAGACTTCCTTGTCTGCCCTCAGCCACCTGCACCATCTGCACCCAGAGAACACTGACAGCTGTGATCGCTGTCTGGCTTGTGGCAGATCTGAGACAGATACCAGTACTCCTGGGGCCACCTGAGGCTCTATTTGTTGCTTTATACAGCGGTCTCTTCCACTTGCTATTTTTCATTGCCTGCCATCCTCCCTCCTCTTTCCGCCTCCAGGAAAGATGGGTAGGCTCCTGAGAGCTCCTCAAACCACAAAAGCGATGTGTTTGTGGTGTGAAGAGCTTGCAAGTGGCAAGAACCGCGCGGGCCAGAAACAGCCATCAGAAGTCCCACGGACACCCTGCCCAAACCTGCCCCAACAGACACCCACGCTTCCCTTCCTCTCCAGCACCTAGCTCCCAGGGTCATTCTGCCTTGCAAAGTGAAAATTGCTTGTTTGGTGGGGCCTCACTCCAGGAGCCACTGATTCCCAACTGTCAGTGGCTGACATTA